ACACAAAAACATTTTCAATCCCTCGTCTTACCGACCGATAAGTTTCTCCCAATATGTTCGCAACTTTTCGAAAAATTAATACACAAAAGATTGGTTGACATATTGACGGAGCGAAATATAATTCCTGGCCATACGTTCGGTTTTCGTACATTACATTCAACAATTATACAGATTTACTGACTACATTGCTGGAGCACTAGAGCAAAAACAATGTGCAAACGGCGGGTTTCTCGATGTTTCCCAGGCATTCAATAAAGTCTGGCACCTGGGACTTTAGTGTTTAAACTCAAAATACTACTACCTCATTCTATAATCTTTCCTTTTGGACAGATCTTTCTCTGTCCGATAGGGCCTAGAAATTCGACCAGTGTTAGCAGGAGTACCTCAAGGATTAATACTGGCTCCATTATTCTACATTATAAAAAAAAGAGCGTCAGGTACCTGGACGGCGTCATTGGGGTGAAGGGAGGAGTAATGTTACCACACTTCTCTTTTGGCGTCATGACGCTTTCAATAATCAGTGCTGCATTTTTAATTAACGTATTTGGGATAATGAATAATAAATGGAAAAAAATCCTTCGCCCTATAAATTTAAAACCTGGCTTCGTCATTAATATTGTAAAGTGCTGTGCAGTTTTCCACAACTTCGTCCTGAATAGAGGTGGTTACAAAGCAGAGGATACTCTGACAATAATTGGCTTGCGAAATATAAATATGACAAATGAATATTTATAAATTTGATAAACATAATTGTTTTTTCAATGGGAAAATTCCGTATTTAGAAAGCTTTGACGATGATTAAATAGTATAAATTCAATTGAAATCTCGACAAATGGTCAACGAATTAAAAAAAGGTAAAAGTTCAGTGGCAACTTAAGATCAGCAAACCGTCCTTAAAACGACTCCTACTGCTGCCATATCACACGAACGTAAAGTACCCTATTTTTTTTGTTAGAGATGAAGCTTTCGCGTAACATAAAAATTTTCTCCGACTATTAAATAGTCGGAGAAAATGTTTATTTTGGTGAACATCTCTTGCAAATTAAGAAGAAAGTTTTTAACTACCGCCTTTCGAGAGCAAGAAGGTATATTGAATGTATTTGGGTAGTGAGTAAAACATGGAAGAACTTTCATCTATCCTATAAAATTGAACCTGGTTATGCCGTTAAAATAAACTATGTAGTTTTTTCACAATGTTGTTAGGAACAGAGACGGTTACAAGGATACTCTGGCAAATAATTGGCTTACGAAATATAAATATAATAAATAAATATTTTTTAACTTGATAAACATAATTCCTTTTTCAATGGAGTGATTCCGCCTTTAGAAATCTTTGACGATGACGAAATAGGAGAATTTTAATTACAAACTCGATAACTGACCACGGAAATCAAAGAAAATAAAAAGTTGTCAAGAAACAAAAATCCGGCCAGCCGTATTGCTAAATCGCAATTAAAACTAAACGAACATCAGAAAACCCACTTTGAAACAACTCTTACTGCTGCCCAATCACGTAAACGTGAAGTAATCTGTTTTTTCATTGATGGTGAAACTATCGCATAGCATACAAATTTGGAAGACATCACTTGTAAATACAGAAATGAATCTTTAACTACCTCTTTCCGAGAGCAAGAAGGTATATTGAATGTATTTGGGATAATGAGTAATAAATGAAGAACTTTCATTCACCCTGTAAATATAGAACCTGGTTATGCCATTAATACAGTAAAGCACTGTGTAGTTTTTCACAACTTTGTCTTGAATAGAGACGGATACAACCCAAAAGAAACTCAGGCAATAATTGGATTGCAAAATATAAATTAAACAAATAAATATTTTTTAACTAATAAGCATTTTATACTGGAATAATTCCGTCTTTAGAAAGCATTGACGATGACTAAATAGTAGAATTTCATTCGACAACTCGAGAACTGATCACAGAAATCAAAAAAGTAAAAAAATATCAAGAAACGGAAATCCGGCAAACTATCTAGCTGAATCAAAGTGGCAACTATACGAACATCTGAAAACCCTTTTTGAAACCTATCATTCTGCTGCTCAATTCCATGAGCATGAGTGTTAAGAATTCATGGTTACCCACACAAAATCTGATCTATCGGAAAATTCATCAAGAGATGCTAAAATTAAAATTAAAACCATAAACAACTACCAGGAAGTACAAATCTGGCTATCTGTTCAAATAAATCGCAGTAGCAACTAATCGAAGTTTAGCAGATCATTTTTTAAACAAATTCTATTGCTGCCTAATCATACTTATTTATATGTGTATTTTTCATTATTATTTATACTTGATTCCTATTTTTCTTGTTTTGTTTTTTGTATAATGAATGTTACCCTACATGAGGCGAATTTTAAGTAATCATTCAATAAAATAAAAAAAAAATTAAAAAATATTCGATATACATACTTAGATTATATTTATTATGTTTTTTTTTTCAATCTTTTAAGGTAGATGCCACTGCCTAGTCCCAACGATGAACCCGTCTTCTCTACCTTCAACCAGCTGAAGTCGACACTAGGGCAGACCAAAGGAAACAAAGCGTCTGGACTGGATGAGATTCCGTAAGTACTGCTGAAGATACTTCCTAGGAAGGGTAAAGCCTTTCTACTGAACATCTTCAACTCATGTCTTCGAATCTCATAATTTCCTACCGCATGGAAACAAGCGATCGTTGTACCTTTACTCAAGCCGGCGAAAACGGGGACTCATCTGAGCACTATCGTCCGATCAGCCTCCTTTCGCACATCAGCAAGATTTTCGAGAGGCTAATCCACCATCACCTTATGAAGCACTGCTGGAAAGAGAGCATCGTACCACCAGAGCAGACTGGTTTTCAGAGAGGGGTCGCGTGTGAACACCACCTAGCTAAACTTCAGGCCCACACAATAGATGAAATGAGTCTCAACAGAGCTACGGCGCTCATCTCTCTGGATTGCAGCAAGGTCCTTTGACTGCGTGTCCCACACGCACCTACTTCGCCGTCTGGAAGAGTTCAAGTTTCCTGTCACTCTATGCCGGATGACTGTAGTGAAAATGAGAATGGAATGCACGTGGATATAAGACAACAGAATGGAAGGTATAGACCGGAATATGGAGAAAGATGGGAATTAAGAGAGGAAGATGTGAAAGTGGCTGTATGGATGGGTAAGAATGGTAAGGCCCCTGGAAAAGATGAGATCAGTATTGAAATGTTAAAGAAGGGCTGGGAGGTACTGAGAAGTGTGCTAGTAAGACTGTACCGTTTGTGTATTAAATTCAGAGTTTTTCCGAATAGATGGAAATATGGGATTGTTAGGGCATTGTTGAAGAGCGAAGACAAAGACCCCGGACATATTAAGTCATACCGACCTATATGCTTACTATCTGTGTTGGGAAAGGTACTAGAAAGAATAATTGTAACTAAACTGGAGAACGTTTTTAACGAGGGTGTGCATGAGAGACAATTTGGGTTTATGAAAGGTAAGAGCACGGAGGATGCAATGAATGAATTACAAAGTGTGATTGGTGAGTGTGAATCTAGGTATGTAGTGGGAGTGTTTCTGGATGTTAGTGGTGCGTTTGATAGAGTGTGGTGGCCTGGTGTGTTAAGATGCCTGCGAGAGAGAGGTGTAAGGAAGGAGGGGTTTGAATTAATGAAGGACTACCTTTCAGGAAGGTCGGTAGAGTTGAACGTCGGACCTGGCGTAGTGAGGAAAAAAGTGAATTTGGGATGTCCCCAAGGTTCTGTCATGGGACCAAAAATTTGGAAACTGATATTTGATGGATGTGTGCGTAGGATGAATGAGGCAGGTTGGGACATGATCGCTTTTGCGGACGACGGAGTGATATTGATAAAAGGAAATTCCCGCCGTGTAATTGAAAGGAGAGCGAATGAAGCTATGGCAGTGTTGGATGAATGGATGAATGAGAATAAGATGTGTTTATCGACTGAAAAGACTGTATGTATGATGTTGAAAGGGAAGTGTGTAAGAAATAGATATCCAAGAGTGAATGTGAGTGGCAATGTATTGAAATTTGTGGAACGAGTGCGATACTTGGGTGTTGTATGGGAAGAGCGAATGAGGATACAACAACATGTGGTTATAGCATGTGAGAAAGCTGCAAGATTATTTAATGGGGTGTTGAGTATGTATGAGAAGAAGACTGAATGTGTGCGAATGAGCTTGGTAAAAATACTATATAAAGGATTGTACTTGGCTATTACTTGCTATGCGGCAGGAGCTTGGGGAGCTAAATTAAATGTATGGACAAGACGGCGATTGCGTAGAGGTCAGCGAAGGGTATTATTAAGATGGCTGAGGGCATATCGAACGATTTTGCATGACGCATTAGAAGTATTGGCAGGACAGTGGCCGTTAGATTTAGAAGTTGAGAGAAGATGGGCAAGTTACAGAATGAGAAGATATGGTAAAGTGGAATGGAGAGGGCAAGTGATAGAAGGGGTAAAGAAGAAAGGTACATTACGGGATGTGTGCCTGAATGAATGGCAAAAGAGATGGAATGAAAGTAGTAAGGGAAGGTGGACGTATGAATGGATACCGAATGTAAAAGAAAGAATGAATATGGAGTGGCTGGAATTGGATTACTTGATGTGTCAAGTACTGAGCGGACATGGGTGCTTCCGTGATAAATTGTTTGGCTTTGGTCTGTGTGAAAATCCGTGGTGTGACTGTGATAAGGAGGAGACAGAAAGTGCTAGACATGTTTTATTTGAGTGCATAAAGTATGAAAAAGAAAGAAGTGTAATGGATCGAGAATTAAGAGAACTTCGTTTGAAAGGAATGCGTGGTTGTATGAGTGAAAAAGGGTATAAATGTTTTAGGGATTATGCGATAAAGGTGATGCAGACGTTAGAAGAGGCGGAAAAGAGAAATGTAATGGATTGAAAAATAATATAGTATGTATGTGGGAGAGTAAATGGTATAGTGTGAGTGCGTGTAATATTAAGTATGTTGGTGGACTTAATGTCCATGGGTGGATGAAGGGTACGGATCCCTCCCTCTCTCATGATAGGATGGTTAGCCCCCCCATTCTATCATGGGACAGGGGAACCGTAGGGGCTTGCCCCGGGCCTGTGACCATTCATGGCCTCTGGGACCTTAGGTCCAAAAATGGTACTACGGGCTGGTGGTCTGCCTCCTTCAGGCAATGACTACATGGGCTGGTGGCCGGGGCCGCTTGGCGGTACGCCGGTTGCAGACGTAGTGGTCGTGTGTTAGATGCTCCCAGTAGTATGACCCCAGTTGTTCTGGTACTATCTACTGTGGTGCGGAAGCTAGAGAAGTAGGTTTTGTCTTTTCCAAGGATGCCATCAGGTGGTATCCTTACCTATTGGTCGTGGAGTGCAGGGATAGGAAAGAGTCCGGTTAAGGCCCTCAGGCTAGGCACGACTTCTTTCCGTTCCCGTCCTCTATACGACGTACACACCTGTCACTCTAGGCCGACTCATCCGAAGCTACCTCAGCGGAAGATCTCGTCGTACGAGTTGGTAGAGACTACTCAAACCCAGTCTATACCACCTGCGGAGTACCTCAACGGTCTGTGTTGGGGCCAATACTGTTCGTCGTTTTCACGGCGCCAGTGGTGGCACTAAAGCATCCAAAGGCGGTGCTAGCAGCCTATGCGGACGACATTGGTATATATGCTTCCAGCGTCAACGCGGAGACTGCTCTCACTCTGGCACAGAATTCTTCAGCCACAATTGTTGAAGAACTAGAAGAGATCGGTATCAGAGTGAACCCTGCGAAGACTGCTGCTATTGTCATGTCGTTTCAGAAGGGAAAGAAGCATCTACCCACACAATTCACCGTTGGAAGAGCTTATCATAAAATCTCTACCTCGATTGGCTACCTCGGCGTCACCCTGGATAGACATTTAACCTTCTCCAATCACGTTAGGCAGAGGATCAAGCTGGCACGAAAGAATTCTTAAGAGACTCAAGCTACAAATTTATAAAGTTATAATAAGACCTACACTGCTCCACGAGGCCCCTCTCCTGCGATACCTATATAAATCCACGCTTACGAGTCCCCAGGGCTTCCAGAAATCTATCATTCTATCCGTGGCACCACCCTACAAAGGGCTAAGAATCAAACAATACGCGAGGAGCTCCAGCTCCCCTCGGTACCTGAGTTCATAGGCCGGAGGCACATCAAATTTTTTGATGGGTTGAAGGCCTGTGCAACCCCACTGTTTAATGAGATCTCACCACCAGCCAGACCTGGGAGGTGGCAAGGTAAACTCCCTTTGGTGAACATAAAGTCCAAACCTATTAATGTGTATATATGTATTTATAGTAAATAATAAATAATTAGCAAAACGGTCCCTTCCCGTTCAATGAAAGTCACAGAGCCTTCTGCCACATATGTTACCCTTAGCTATCCCTAATCCTTAAAATGCCCTCGGGCAGTGGAAGGAATTTTTTACTTGCATATATTGTATTGTTATGTAATTTGATTAAATAAACATTTGGGGGGGAGGGAGTAAGACAAAAAAGATCAAAAATCTTTCAAGGTAGATGTTTTATATATAAAGGAATGGATTAATTGAAAACGATTCCCTATAATTTTCACTAATTTATTATCACTATCATGGAAAAATTACCCAGCAGCACCTCTTTTTGGTCTTTAAACTATTAACAAATTAATTCACGTTTATAGTTCTTTTGGCAAGATGTGATGCTAAATTGTATGAACAATATTGTTATTCTTAAGGGACGTTGCCCCAGAATAAAGTTGATATGTCTATATAAATCAAACCTTTTTTTGTATTTAACTATTGCTTAATTAAGCTTTGTAATGTGCATTACTTCTATTAAGTTTCCATTCGGTTTTGTGGGCATTCATTATATACTAAGTCATCTTTTATATGTTGATTCAATTTTTCTTATTTTATTGCCATTAATGAGTTTTTTTGTTTGTTTCGTATGTCTTATTTAATCGGAAGATTTTGAATATATTTTCACTGAATTAGTAAGAAAACTTAAGAAATGAAGGGCGAACTTAACATAGATATGTAAAGAAACTAAATGATCCAACTGAACGCCTACGAAATTTAAGAGGAGCATAGCCAATTTCAAATAAATTCAGAAAGCCTCATAATTCAGGCGCTACGTTTCTTATTAGTTGGTCTAGCAAAATACTGGTTTGAAACTAACCGCATCATGATAGATTTGGAAGAGAAGAGTTGATAAATCATTCACTGAACAGCAAAAATTTTATTTTAAAAAGAAAGAAAAACCGCCAACATTGAATAGGAAGTACGTCCAACAAAGAAATGGCACTTAGAGAATAGCATCCTGAATTTGTGCGAATCTAGGTTGACAAAATCGTAATAGGTTAGATCCAGTACATATTGGATCTTTCCCCATCATTAGGCAGATTTAACAGTCATATTATGATGTTGCGAGCGAATAGAAAAAGAAGATTTAAATTTCTTTAACAAGTTGCTTACTTTATCCTATATCTTGGAACGTAAAATTTCACTCGGTAACTTCAAATTCAGATTTATCATTAAACAAATATATAAAAAAACGAAGATAAACCTGAAATTGAAATTTTTCGCACATCCAACTTCCATTCGACTCGACTATTTCGAATTCTTTGACGTCAGTTTTTAAAATGCAACCTATTACATCGTCATTCGAGGTGAATTCTATTTTACAGACACATTCTTAACACCATATAAAAATTTCAGCATTCAATTATTCCGATAAATGTAACATCAAATTTCATCAATTTAATTTAAATGTTCGTATAGAAAACAACTGCTTTCCATCGACAGCACGAAGTTGTCAGCTCAGATGAGGTTTATCTACAATTAAAAACTGTTACTAACTAAAAGTCCTTCAGTTAAATAAAACGACGCCGTAGCTCCTAGTATATAATTATCTATCCAGTTGGAATTGTCCGCGAACGCATTCATCTTTCAGATCGCGTATTTTATTATTAAAAAATAACGTATCTCCAACATTGTTTAGAGAATATTAAAAAAACAAAACAATTATTTTAATATTCCTATTACTGAGGACCGCAAAAATACGAGAAACATTATTTCACATTTGTCAATAGTTACAAAGTTATGAGGGGTGACATAACCGAAATCAAGAAAATTTCGTTTTATTGACGGCAAATAGATCCATTTTACAGATCATTTAAAATTCTTTTATCAGATAAAAATCGATGGAATCCAAAACAAGAATATTTTCCGATTATATTAGTACTTTTGGAATTCAATAAAGATGGTTTATGAAGGAGATATGAGCAAAAACATAAAATAAGACAGACAGTGCTATGTGACCTTTTTTGACCTGCCATTTTGGCTGGAAGCGGACATCAGATTTTAGAGGACTTTTCATGTTTTTTTCTAGATTTGATAAGGAACTGATTCCCACATTTACAGCTAATTAGGAATTTTCTTAATATCAAATCCTAAATTTACTGGGCTAATTGGAATTATAAAATCGAAAATATTTTTATCTAAAAGAGACAAATATACGAACTGTACAATGCCAATCATGAAAAAAAAATGGACTACAGAAAAAAAATTAACGCTCCCATTTGTTATTTCACTGCTGTAAAACTTAATGATTCAATTGTTATCGATGATTATCAACATATAAACTGTAAAGGATAAAAAAACAAACAAAAAGCTCAGAGTATACTCAAGTTAATTTGGTACAAAGCAGTTAACAGTTTGGTTCATTTTCAAGAGAACAGAACAGTTGAAAGGCGAAATGAGATCCTTCTGCTTCGGCTGTCTTAAACAGAACTGCTCAATTTGGCGGAAAGGCTTAACAAAGAAAACACTACAGGCATGTTAACCGAGAGAACAGTACAACCATACAATCTACAAATAAAAAAAAAACATTTATACAAAAACAGAAAAAATATACCGAAAAAATACTAGATTGTTAACCATATTGTTGAAGGTACATAACAATACATCTTATCATAAACAATACATCTTATGATACAACAATACATCTTATCATAAACAATACATCTTATCACTTCCTAGCCTCATCTTTGATTTTAAACTAGCTTAGCAATAGTTCGGTTCATCAATAAAAAGCTATAGATATAAAGAAAATGCTTTGAAATCTACAAGGACCAAAGATTTTTTAAAATATTTCTAAAAATTAATTATTTTTACTTGCTTATTTAACGAACATGTATTAAAAAATGGCAAAAGAAGTTCAGCTACAATCGAGATATTGTAGAAAAAAAATAGTGGTTTTGATGAAAAACCTTTTCAAAAATCATATTTTCACAAACAGATTAAAATAAAAATTGCCATAGATAATCTCAACTTGTCACTCCTATCTAATCCTTCTTTCAGTTACCGAATTGTCCGAAGTCATTTGAGAATACTCTACAATATTGTGTATTCAATAAATGTACATAAAACATAATAAAAACTCAAGTAATTAAAAATACAGGAAGGGCTATTGATTGAAAACATAATTAAACAATAAAAACAAACGTGTATTACCTAATTTGTAATAATAAATGTGTATTAACTAGTTGATAAAAACAATCTCATAAAATAATAAAAACAATTAACTTTGAATCGTTACTTAAGCCAGCCTGTTTTATGATATAATTTTATTAATATAAGTCTTTTTTTTTTCCTTTTTATGATCACCCTTTACCTAGTACCCATCAAAGTTAGTTCTCATCATTCTTATATTACTCTTTATATTTATTATCTCAATCATTTTGACCCGATTCTCTTTATTACCTTACCTTTATTATCAGCTATTATTTAAATAATCTAGTTTTAAAACGGGCGTTCTAGATAAAAAAAAAAGTATTAAACACTATAAACTGTTCATTATATTTTATTACTTATCTACCGTTGCTTCGTGCATTACAATACGCAACAATTACAAAATAAAAAGTTTGGAACTGCGGTAGACAAACAAAAAAAGGAAAAACAAAATAAACTGAAACATATAATTCGTAGCTGTATGAACCAGAAAGCGTCCTTAATATCCAAGCAGGAGTGCATTCAAGGAAGTTTAATGGCGCAAATTGAGCCATCAAATATTCTGAGGGGGGACATTTTGGCAGAGTTTTGAATTTTTGAGGGGGGCACATTTCGATAGGATTATGAATTTTTTAAGTGAAAACTTCTTTAGCGCGTTTTGCATTATTTTGCAGTGAGTGAATTAGATTGATCTGTCAGATTTCCTTCGGCTTGAACGCTCGGGTAAAGTCGGCTAGAGTCGATTAATTAAAATATTTTTACATATGGATTAAAATATCTCAGAAACTAGAAATCGGGCCTGCATACTGAAAGCGAGGAAATTGTTCAACATTTCATCCTCTCTGTAATATGCTATAATTCCAAATTGTATCTATATGAAT